TTTTTTGCTAGCAATCGTTGATCGGTACGTTCGGTATTTCGTGAAATTTGTCGTCGAAGATCGAAGATCGTGACGCGTGGAATGTACAACTACTGCGTAAAGCTAATCCAATGCACCACGTAGCACGTGGCTGCGTGTTGGATCCGAGAAAACGTGATGGCACGCTATACGACCTATTTTAAATTATTTTTCATATCTCATTTCAACATCTCAAAGTTCGACCTACCGCTGAACGAACGGAAAGAAAATCTTTCGAAAACAAAACTTCCGGCTTTATATTGAATTTATTTTTTTTTTGTTTTTTAAATTCTAAACAATTCGTCACACGAGACTAATTGTAAGACGAATTGTTTGACGTTTTCCTTTAAATTTGTAAAGTCGGGACGCGTATCACGCGTCGCTTTCTTTATGGGGAAATTTTACTATATAACCAAAGATCAAACCGTTAAAGGTTTTCACCATTTAAGGGGGATCTCAATAGCGAAAAGGAAACTTAATTAAGTTCGTTCATATTTTGTACAACTAACTCGATTATAAGTGTAAGAATCGAGCAAACTATATATATATATTGATTTGTTTCTTTCTTTTTATATTCTTTTCTTTTTTTTTTTTTTTTAATTTTATTTTTAACTCTATAAAATCGGACATTTACGTAGGTACAAGCCAAACATTTACTCTCCCGATAGAAACTCTCGGAATTACGTAAGCGATTTCTTGACTTTTTACGTTGGTCCGATCTTTCTTCAAGTGTGTTTCCACTTCGTGTAGCATCTGAATACGTTCGACAAAGCGTGAGGTTGCTCCTGCGACAAGAATATTAATGCAGTTTCACGAAGTAAGTAAGTATATACATGTGTGTATCGTAGCGTAAGTGGGTTCGTAGTGCTCTGTTGAAGAGAGTTACGTACCGAATTCGATGACGATGAAAGTGTCGTGTCACCTGCGATTCCGGGTGCGGTGACCCCATCAATTTTACATACAATCATACTTGATCATCCGAGGTTGCGTTAGTAATAGTTAGGAGCTGCTGCTAACGTTCAATTTTTCTTCAAGTTGGAACGAAAGATTTTTCATGTATTTCGATAATAAAATAAAATTTTAAATCGAACCCGATTAATCCCAACCTATCGGTTTAATATCATAGTGGTTCATTAAAATGTTTTCGTTAATCTACGATCGAGAATTGGCAATTTTCAACGTGGCTATTTTATATGACGAGAATGACCTCCTCACAGAGAATTAGAGCGACTTTACGAAACCCGTCGAACGAGAATCAAAACATTGGCCGGCCATTAACTTCAGAAAGGGTATACGAAGCTGATAGGGCCGGTCCGCCTCGAAATAATTGCTTCGGGATATCGACACTGAGCGGCATACTAATTTCGTTGCGCCTACATGCATGCGCACTTACCTGTAAAATCGACGGTTTATCGATCAACCGAACGAACGAACGAACGAACCAACGACGACATCGAAGAACGGGAGGTGGGTGGGCCCTACAACACCAATCGCATCGCAATTTCAAACGATGATGAAATATTTCTATAGATTACCATATGATAATATCTAATACGATAATTTCATATTTTGCGATAGCAGAAGATTCATAATTATTAAACGATAATTGTTAGGCATCAATTTGATGAAAAGATTGCTAGTTTATCTCGTAAGATCTTTGATAAGTTTGAGTATAAAGTTAGAGATACGTAAAGTAAAGATAGATGCACTCGAGAGTTAAGAGGTTCGAATTAAAATTGATTGTGTTCTTGTTGCAAAATCAGATGATCCACCCACGATCGTAATCTAGATGGAAATCTATCGATTCCCATAAGAAAGGGAAGGGAGGATGAGATACACATGAGGCGGCTTTTGGCCTCTCATTATATCAGTACCAACCAACCACCGATAACCGATCGATCTCATATCGGACGCATCTATGTGGAGCACAGAGATTGCTTCAATGTTTTTTCTCTGTTGCAAAAACCGTTTTATATTAACGTCTTCGCGAAATATTCGCGACACTCGAATAAAAATACTTTCGGGGTTCCCACACGTGTTGAAAACCGGAGAGCAAAAATATGTTACTTTCTTCGTTGATGGAGTGTAAGACATCAATGTAAAACATCGTACAACTGTTGCTATAATGATTGTAAGAAAGATATCGTGTACGGTAAATCGAGTCGATTAAGTTACAAAGAATTTTAAAGAAGATGTTGACCTTATACAATTTTCTTTCTTAAATAATTCTCACCGCTGATTTTTACCCTGTACACGATTTCACCTTTTTAATCTTTTTCCAAAAATATAATCTTATTCTTTTTTTTTTTTACATCTTTTAGCAATATAATTTTTAATATCGTTTAAATTTTAACGAATCGTTGGATTTATTCTCATATTGATTTCAAGTAATTAAGAATATTATTTTCTAAATGAAATTTTGATTTATCAATAGTAAACGAATATTACAGTTCATGTTTGAATTTATAGCGTCATCTCTATCGATATTCGAATAGAAATCTTTTATATCGACCGTCAGTATATTGTCAAGGAATACGAAGAAACATTTCGTTCATAACTTACCGATTAATTACTGACGTGATTACAATCGGTAATTTTATTCTTATTTATTCTTTTTTTTATTGCTCTTAATAAATAAATACGTTTATTATCGGCAAAAACAATGAGTAAGACGTTTGAGGAGTTTAAAGATTAAAATATATGTTACTCGTGTATTGATTATATTTTACACGTGCCGTATGATTCTATTATCAGAATATTTTTTTTTCTGTTATCAAAGATTTAAAGCGTTTTATCAATAAATTTAAAAAATTTCAATTCTCTTACAATTAGAGAGATAGATAGGGAAAAAACTAACACTCGTTAGGGAGTTAAATCTTTTGGTATTTTATCAGTTTCGATAAGAAAAAAGATCTTAAATGTGTAAATATACTGTTGTCTTGCTTACGTCATGACTTATGATGAATAAGCGAAGCATCAGAATAAACGTACGTTGCCTAATTTATATTTAACGAAACATATCGAAATCAGTGCTTCGCAAATCTTTTTTTTTTATTTATTTCAAAGTAGGAATATAATATCTTGCATTATCAATATGATTAGGTATCACAAGCAGAATGCTAGTTTTTCTTACAATTTGAAAATACGTAACTTTAAAATCTGCAAAATACATGAATAACAAATACGAGTATCTTATTTTACAATTAGTATACTACGACGTTTATTATTCAGTTTCTCAGAAAAAGCACATATATATATATATATATATATATATAAATATGCACTGATATAAATCCATTTGTCAACAGTGGAAAAATTTTGTTATAATTAAATTCTAAAAAGTAATATTAATCGACGATCGCAACAATTTCCCATAATAATTTACAATGATTTATTTATTTATTTCCATAAACTTTTCCATTGTATTTTACAAAAACGTATTAAAAACTTTGTCAACGTTTTACCATGATATATCAAAGTTCATACAATTAGAAAAATATAAATAAAAAAATGTTTGAATCTGATGGTAATTGGGGTGAGAGAAGTTAAAAAGGTAGGAGAATAATTTGATACGTTTGAAAGTGAACGCGTTTGAACGAAATCGTGACCGATAGGAGGAGGAGGACGGTCGCATATAGGGCACGGTCCTAGTTGCCCACTTTTACTGTCCTCAATTTCACTCTCCTACATTGGTGGTGGTGGTCGGTCGCGACCGACTTGCCAGTTTCGTTTCGTTTCGTTTCGTTTCGTTTTCACTTTCGCTGGCCGACGATCGTCCTGACCCGACCTAACAGAGATTTCTATTAACCCGATATACGATCACTGAACGGTTCCCTCACCGAGGAATCTGTGTATCCTAGGTCAGGATCGCGTTCGCTTTCGCCCGTTGCCCTCACTACCTTGCCCACTTTCGATTTCTATCACTAACGCGTTTTCTAATTTCTAGATATAGTATATATATATATCTCCTTCAAAGATACTAACATCTATCTTTTTGTACTATCACAGATTTCATCGAAGTTAAATTTTATTTATAAAACATTCTGAACAATTCTTTATTCTTTGATTTTTCTAACTATTAAATAAGATTGGTCAACTCACAATTGGCTTCTTATGTTTCTTTTGCATCTTCAATCAAAGTTTAACTTCAAAAATTTAAGATCATCGAATATATAATAGATCGCGATCGATTATATCGTACGTGTCATTTATTGCATGATTAATTGATCACGTTTTTGAATGATTTAAAACCTATAGATCATTTGGAATATCGATTCTTCGAGATTTTCTGTATTATCGTCACGTTTATAAATTATGTTATTTCTACGATTACACACGATTGATTTTCTTACACTATGAACTGATTGATCATTATGAATTATCAATTATCTTGTTCACCGGAACGTGAGATTATTATAACGGATCTGTACGCTAATTTACATAACTTTTAAAATAATAGATAACGTATAAATTTATTTCATTAGATGGGGTGGGGTAAGATGAATATGTAATTTTTCATAGATATTAATGTAAAGTAAATAAGGTGTTAGTTTTTTTATTTTAAGATTTCATAATGTTTGACGAACGATTTTGAAAGATAATGAATCATTATACAATGATTTTAACAAATAAGAGGAATTAATTACATGAAAACATATGAACATTTTGATTTTATTTTGATGATAAAAATAGTCAATTATTTAATAATGTGTCCCTAAATTTGAGTGACAAACGAATTTTTTTTTTCATGCTTGATAATGACGATTTCTGGAGAGATGATTGTGATAATTGAATAATTATTCCGTCATAATAAGTTGAATCATAAGAATAACAGCCGTAAATTTCGTGCTTCTTTGCGAATTGCTGTGATAAGAAATCCCTACTCGATTGCTATATAAACGATTTCCTTCCAATTTTTAAGGACAGTATACGCAAGACATTTTCGGATGAAACTATTCGGATTTTATTCAGATAATAAAATCATGAAAGGTAATAATAATCTTTGTAACATTTGTGTATATATCAGAATTTAATATCCATTCGTATTAAGATGACAATTTATTTATTTTATTTTTCTTATTCTCATTTCTATATTGATTCTTCTAGGTGCCGTTGTTATCACTTTGTTATTTGCGTACGCTTTGGGAGCTCCTCATTGGGAACCAAATGTACCATGGGCTAAAGAATTTCAGAATTTTGAGCCAGAGAAATACAAAGAAATAGGAGAGAATCTTAAAGACGAGTTTGAGAATAGATCGCAGAAATATGAAGAAATAGGAGCAAATTTTAAAGACAAATTTGAAAAGAAAGCTGATGATTATAAGAATCAATTTGGTGAAGTTGGTACAAATGTAAAAGGAGATCATGATTTTTTGAAAGAATTTTCGTCATTTGGAGATTTGTCGGACCATATATTGAATCGACCACATCGTTCAAAGAACATTTACAAGTACGAGAAAGAACAATCCAATAAGGACAATGATCACGATGATGATGATGCTTCAAAATCGTCAGCTTCTTCAAAATCGTCAGCTTCTTCAGAATCGTCAGCATCTTCAGAATCATCAGATTCGTCGGACTCCTCGAACTCATCGGGTTCTTTCAGTTCTTCGAACTCTTTCAGTGCTTCGAAACCTTTAGGTTCTCATAGTGTTTCGAGTTCATCCAGTTCTTCGAGTTCCTCGGACTCATCCAGTGCTTCGAATTCTTCGGGTTCTTCCAGTTCATCGGGATCTTCTGATAATTCCAATTCTTCCAGCTTTTCCAGTTCTTCTAGTTCAAGTTTCTCCCAGTCGAAATCGAAAGACAAAGATCAGTCTAAGGAAGATGAAGATTCGAAAAATTCGAAAGACAATGAGTCCGATGAAAATTCGAATAATTCGAATGACACTGAATCTGACGAAGATCAGGAGAAGAAACAAGAAAGGAACAAGCACAAACATTATTATCATCATCATCATCATTATTCTAAACACGACAATTCTAATATCAATGGTGAAGTCAAAGTAAATGGAACATTGATTGGAAATGGGAATGATGTGACAACTGGCAAATTGTCCGACGACGCGTACATCGAACGCTGTTTAAAAATATTAAAACAATTATCATCGTCATTGAAAGAGAAATACGGTGAAAATAAAATCGACAAGGAACACGATAAAACGACTTCATCTGAAATTGAAAAGGAAAGTTCAAATTGCAATAGAACTCTTAATAAGATCGAGGATAAGTCGAAAGACGGTAAAAATGATGAAGTAAAGTCAACGATTGTCAAAGATTTGATAGAAAAGAGATCTAACGTTAGCAAAGAAGTTTTGGAATGCACACACGCTCGAAGAATATTAATTGTTAGAATAATTAAAGAACTTCGTGAACGTATTCAGCATAAATATGGTAAAAATTCGTTGACGTATCTGCCAAAACGTATACGAGCTGTATTAAACGTTATTAATAAAATCGTAGCTAAGAAATCTCAATCTTATGGTTCACATGGATTCTTAAACGTGGATTCACATATTGGAGGTGGTTCGAAAATCACAGGTATAGTAAATATGTTATCAAAATAATTTCATTCCAATCAATATATTATGTTATTTTATTTCTAATATTATTTTTTATTTTAGGCTATCATCAAGGATTACATTCTTCGTCTAACGCAGAGACGTCTAATGATAATTCTGCTCCAATTTATAAGAATACAAGATTACCATGGTTCAATCCCTCTTTACCTTTTCTTGGACCAGGCCCAGTTATAATTCCACCTAAAACGCACGGTACGAATAATTCGTATTAAATAAATAATAATCTATCACAAATACACCCTGCGAGATTAATAATTTAATAATTATTATTTATTTTTATTATAGACCAAGACAGTGGAATCACGAATCCTTCTGAAACGTCACTATATGATATCATCTCTAAAAAGAATAAAATTCATGCTAAAGTACCGTTCGAAGGCGCTCATCATTTAATACCAGTGAAACACACAGATAAAGTTGTGCATTATAATCGACCACATTTCCATATTGGTATACCAAACAATCCTATTTCTTCTGGCAATAGTCATGGTTTTACGAGCCCCAATTATTCACCAAAATATATACTACAATCTATACTAAAAAATACGGGCACACAACCACAAGGCAATGATTATATTCACAAATGGTATGGACCGTTAGTATTTCCTACTGTGCCATCGTCTGAGAACAATGGAAACCATAACAAGCTTAGTACAAATCATTATTCTAAAGGATTTTCTAATTTTGATGAAATTTTACATTCTACAATAATTGGCAATCATGGTACTCACGATATACACGACATATTTTCTGGAATTCCATCATTTCCGAATTCTCTATCTTCTACAACTAGTAGTGGTAAGGTAGATTTAAATAACGAAAAATCAAATGAAAATGACTATTCAAAAGACAATCAGTCAAAGAACGGACAATCTGTAGATAATCAACAGTCTGTGACACCCCTCGGCAACGATAAAACAACATTCTCTACTTCTGGAAATAATAAAAATAGCAAAGATCTACAATCTCAGAATAAAACACATGATTCGTTTGATACAAATAACGATAATCAATCTGGACAAAATGGAACAGTAGTTAATCACGGAAATGATGTAGATTCAGGTGTATTATTACCTTCAAAAAATGATACAGTAATATCGAATAATCAAGATTCTAATGATGGAGATAATAGATATAAACCGGATTTAGACAAACCTATTTCGGAATCATCTTATTGGAACGAGAATACTGTAGATACTATAACGACAACGAAAGATTCATCGCAAGACATTAATGTGTCTAATCATGGATCAAATAATTCAGAAGGGTCCGAAACAAGTAGTAAAACTATAAAAAATAACGTCGATGAAGATAATGAAAATATTTCAAGCGGATCGAAATCAGGAAAACAATCGGTTACTGAATCATCTGAATCAGGTTTACCAGTTTCTTCAAATAATCCAGATGTGTCAGTTTCATCAGAAAAAAAATACGGACCGATAATAACAATCGAACCAGACTGGCCAGTTAGCACAGATAAACCAGAACTACCATTACATAC